TCTTCCCGCTTCCTCTTCCAGGCCCAGGCAGCACATTTCCAGACGTCCATCCAAGCAATTGTTCCACCAAGAGGCATGCAAGTGAAGATGAGCTGAGGAAGCGGCTGAAATCCCAGGGGTCAGCATTACTGTCAACCGGAGGTGCTCTGCGCAGCACTTCCTCTTCTGACTACATCCAAGAGCCAAAGTTCTTTCAGTCAGGACATCCTGGGCAAAAGACATCTGGGTGCCTGGCAGAGAAAGCCTTGCCGTATAGCATGCTCAGCTTCCCCGAAGGCTCTTGCACTGTATTAAGTCAAGAGCACAAATCTAGTTCCTTACATCATACAGAGGCAGCCGAGCGGTATAAAAGCCTCCATATCCAGAGCGGTGTCGAGTCTGAAGACTTGCTGGCATCCGGTGTCCCTGCCTGCCCTGCTGACGTCCAAGACTTGGAGGAAACCACCACACAAGATAGAGCTGCCAAAACTTTCTCCAATGCCACATTGGCCTCGGGGAGGTGTAACATCGACAGCATCATCTCCCTGTTGAAAAGCAAGTGTGGCAACGGCAGAATCAACCTCTACCCTGTGGTGCAGCTCATAGACATTATGAAGGACATTGACCGACTCTCCCAGGACCTGAAGAGCTGTGGCGTCCACTTAGACTGCAGTGGCTTGCAATTTGATAGCCACCTGCCGCTTAGTGAGGAAGGCCGGGGACAAGGTCTTCATTATAGCTTCTACTCCTCCCCCATGTTGGCCAACAGCATCCGCAGTCCCGAGGAGCTGGCAGTGCAAAGCAGCACCAAAGCTGAGCTCCTCAAGCAGACCCAATCTGGCCATTATGCGGGAGAAACAGAAGGGGACACTCAAGGTGCCCAGGACCAAATCAGCCAGAGAAGTCCTGTCCTGAAGGCTCCTAGTAGCCTTGATGAAGCTAGCTCCGAGTCTGAGACGAATGATTATCCTGAACTAACCAATACGGATATCCTAAGCGAACTGGCTTCTTTGGCCTGTCCAGAACCTCAGTTATTAGATCAGCATTCGGAATCCCACCGTCAGCTGCTAGAAAGCCAAGGGGCTGAGTCAAGGTCTCAATTAATTGACTCACAGTCTCTAGAGCACCAGCCCCAGCTAGTAGATTCCAAGTCTCTGGAGCCACCTCCAGAACCGTTGGCCCTGCAGACAGTGGATCCCTTGCCTGCACCGCTGGGGCTGCAGCCTCTGGAACCTCTGGAGCTTCAGACTTTAGAACCTCTTTCTGAGTCACTATCACTCCAGTCCCTAGAACCCCTTTCTGAGCCTCTAGGGCTCCAGTCTTTAGGGACCCTGGACCACCAGTTGCTTGATTCCCAGTCCCAGCTCCTGGATCCAGAGGCCCAGCTGCTTTCACCTTTGCCCAAGTTGCTAGACTCTCAGCCCCATCTGGGAAGGCAGGAGTCTTCAGGAGAACACTCGCTACAACCTGGAGCCCGCCTTGGAGGCTGCTCCTTAAGAGGAGTAGTAAGGCGAGGGGCTGGGCGGGGAAGGGATGATCACAGGAAATATGCTCTACGGAGAACAGATAAACCAAAGATACTCTGTCGTCGTCGTAGGGGAGGCCGAGGGCAGCGAACAGAGATTGTCACTGACAGCCAAGTCCTCCCCGTGGCTGTACCAGTGGAGGTGGTCATGGCGCGACCAGAAGAAGCTAGGATGCCAGTGACCACCATTGCAGCAAATCAAGTAGCAGATCCCATGGTTTCCACTTTGGAGTCAGAAGATGGCCAGAAGGCTGCCGCCCTCCTGAATCCCCCAAAGCCCAAATGCCGTGGCATACGTCGGATGGTGGTAAAGATGGCCAAGATTCCCGTCTCTCTTGGGAGGAGGAATAAGACGACGTACAAGGTCTCCTCCCTCAACAGTAGCTTGAATGTAGAAGGCAAAGAGGTTGCAATCTCCCCTTCTTTAGAGCCCACTCCACTGCTGAAGATGAAAAACAATGGCCGGAATGTGGTGGTGGTCTTTCCTCCAGGAGAAATGCCCATCATCCTGAAGCGGAAGAGGGGAAGGCCTCCCAAAAACCTGATGCTGGGGCCCTGCAAACCTAAGGAGCCTGCCCCAGAAGTGAAGAAACGGAGGAGGAGGAAACAGAAGTTGGCATCCCCACAGCCCTCTTACGTTGCAGACACCAATGACAGTAAAGCAGACTATTCAGATGTACTGGCCAAGCTAGCTTTCCTCAACCGCCAGAGCCAGTGCTCCGCTCGTTGCTCCCCACCCCGCTGCTGGACCCCAAGCGAGCCCGACTCCATCCACCAGGCTCCTGACACTCAGAGCATCTCCCACTTTTTGCACCGAGTACAAGGGTTCCGCAGACGAGGCGGCAAAGGAGGTGGGTTTGGGCGTGGAGGGAGCCACTCTGCCCGTTCCTCTCGTTGCTCCTTCAGCGACTTCTTCGAAGGCATTGGCAAAAAGAAGAAGGGGGTCCTGGGGACAGCCATGCATGTCGACCCCACTCATCCCCGGAAGAGAGGCCGTCCAGAGCCGGACCCCATGGAGAAGCCCAAAAGAAAGAGGCGATCTCGCAAAAACGGGGTCTTGTTTCCTGAGCAGAACCCCAGCCAGAACTTCAGTGATGGGTCCTCAGAATGGTGTGGAGAAAAAGAAAGTCTTTGGATGTCCCACCAAGGACACCTTTCCGGTCAAGCCAACAGGAATTGCAGCTACCAAGGCAGCGATTCCCGGACCTTCCACTCCTCAACCGTGGAGTCAAGTTCTTCAAGCCGAACTGGTTTTTATGGGGGGAGCAATCCATCATCCCAGTCTGAACTCAGCCAGGAAAGGCAGAACCTTTTCACGGGCTATTTCCGTTCCCTGTTGGATTCCGATGACTCCTCTGACCTGTTGGACTTTGCCCTCTCCAATTCTCGCTCTGCCTCACGGAAATCCTCAACCACATATACAGCTCCGCCTAATGCTATCGCAACCCAGAGAGGCATGGCGTCTTACTCAAGCCGGGGTGGGAAAGCCACACCTTCTTCCACCACCACAACCGTCACGAGCGAGGTGCCCTTCCACACAGTCAGCCGGCAGTCGTTCCCTCCCAACAGAGCAACAGGCTACAACCTGTCCCAGGCTGCTTCGGAGTGCCGTGACCCAGATGCCTTCCAGAAGCTGGCATCTCTCTCGGCTGTCTCCAGGTCTCCCACTACTCACTCCACCACAGCCTCCAGTTATGCACAATATGGCAACTATGGCAGTACTGGAGGACAAAGTGTGACTCCTGCCAGCTTGTTTCAGCAAGGGAAGTCCTACCACACCACCCAAGACTGTCCCAACAACAAGGATTGCAGCTTCACCTATGGTGGTGGCAACAGCCTGCCCTCCTCCCCAAGCAGTGCCCACAGCGTCAGCTACACCCAGCAGACTTCAGGGCCCAGCATGTCCCTGAGTAAGCCCTCTTTCTTCAACAGCTCTGATCCCAGCCAGTTCTCCAGCTCGTCTCACACCCCCATGAGGTGTGACAGCCGGGCAAGCACTGTATCGCCAGGGGGTTACATGGTCCCTAAGAGTTCAATCCCCTTCCAGCCCTCACCGGAGAACTGTAGGCAGTTTCCTAGTGCCTCTCAATGGGCTTTCCGGCAAGGTTATGGCCTGGACTGGAACCCTGAGTCCTTCAGTCAACTCTACAATCCGGGCTTTGACTGCCACATCAACGAACCCAACGTCATCCTAGACATCTCCAACTATACACCCCAGAAGGCCAAGCAGCAGACGGTCTCGGAGACCTTCTCCGAATCCTCCTCCGACAGTACCCAGTTCAACCAGCCATCAGGCTACAGGAGGGCCAACAGTGAGGCTTCGTCTAGCGAAGGGCAGTCCAGCCTCTCTAGCTTGGAGAAGCTGATGATGGATTGGAACGAGTCTTCTTCAGCCCCAGGTTATAACTGGAACCAGAGCGTTTTATTCCAAAGCAGCTCCAAACCAGGACGGGGCAGGCGAAAGAAAGTGGACATATTTGATACTGCCCATCTCAGTTTCTCCACGGGGGGCTACCCCTCCAAGAGAGGGACTGGTGCTCGGCAGCCTCGGGGTTCCCGGGGCGCCTGCACCTCCAAAAAAGAAAGAGGCACAGGCAAAGCTAAGTTCCCCACCAAATCCCAGTCGGTCAACCCGCTGTTTCAAGACAGCACAGATTTGGGGCTGGACTACTACAGCGGGGACAGCAGCATGTCCCCTCTGCCTTCACAGTCCCGGAGCTTTGGGCTCAGCGAACGCGATCCTTGTGACTACACAGGGCCCTACTCCATGAATCCTTCCACGCCTTCGGACGGCACCTTTGGGCAAGGGTTCCAGAGTGACTCGCCCAGCCTGGGGCAGACGGACTTGGAGAACAAGCATTTCCCCACCCTGCCCCACCAGCTGGCTGCCCCGCCCTCTCAGCAGACGGTGTTCGAAGCCAGCTTGCAGAAAGCTTTCTCGCCCAACTGCTCCCCCACCCTGGCCTTCAAAGAGGACTTGCGGCCCAGTGACATCCGGAAGCTTCCAGCCTGCGACTCGCTCAAACATGGCATCGCTGGGGTGGCCGGCTTGCCCCACTCGGCCCCCCACATGGCCTGCCGGGACCTCTCCATGTCTCAGCCTCACTATGATTCTCCCAGCTGTAAAAACCCCAGCTATTGGTATTCGCCCACGGCCAGCACCCGCAGCCCCCCCTACGACAACAAAGCCGGCGTGGGCATGCTGCTAGACTTCATGGGGAGGAGTCCCGAGGCTTCTTGCCTCAACCCCCATTTGACCAGTCCCCCCAGCAGCAACCCTTCCAAGAGCGAGAAGGAGCCCATGGACATGGCAAGGGTTCATCACCGAGGAGCCTATATTTGCCCCTTGATGAATGACTTAAATATCTCCCCGGTCCCGAGAGACTCGATGCTGCCGCTGCAGGACAACTATAGGTACCCCAGCTTTGCACCCCAAGGGCACCCAATCATGACCGCACCCCAGAAGAGCGCGTTTTTGGGTCCAATGCTAGAACAGCATCCCGAGGACACATTCACAGTCACCTCCTTGTAGTGTCATCTGAAGTGCCAACCAGACACGAGGTTTTGTTTCAGGGTAGGTGCCTGAGGAAGAGCTGGGGAGGGGAGTGGGGGGGGTGCTTTGAGGAAGTGCGGGGATAGAGTGGGCTTGGGCTTGGAGGCTCATTGTCGTCATGCCGATGGGGCTAGCAAAGAGGCTCACGGCACAATGGGGGAGGAAAACAAATGAATAGGTTCCCTCCATGGGTGGTTTTTGGGAAAAAAAGGACCTTTTGTAACGGTAGACACCAACTCAGATACCAACTGGCAAATGGCTCTTGGACGGGAGTTTGAACTTAGGGCAGTGTTTCTCAACCTCGACCTCTTGAAGAAGTGTGGCTTTCAACTGGAGAATTCCCCAATAATTCGGCCGACATTTAAAGTCATGTTGGCTGGGGAATTCTGGGAGTTGAAGCCCTCACAACTTAAAGGGGCCAAGGTTGAGGAACACTGCCTTAGGACGATGCCAATATAGGTAGCCCTTGAGATGGGGCCACAACTGAGCCCAACATTTCCGTTGCCAAGCAAGACAGTGTCCCGTTTTACAACCTTTCTTGCCACAGTCATTAAGCGGATCGCTGCAGCTGTTAAGTTAGTAACACGGTTCTAAAGTAAATCTGGCTACCCCATCGATTTTGCTTGTCAGAAGGGCACAAAAGGTGATCATATGACCCAGAGACACTGCAACCATCCTAAATGCAGGCCAGTTGCCCAGTGCCCGAATTTTGATCACGTGGCCCATAGGTCATAAGTGCAATGGTCATAAGTGTGAAAAATGGTTATCAGTCACTTTTTTTTCAGTGGCATTGTGACTTTGAAGAGTTAGTAAACGAATGGTTGTAAGTGGAAGGTTACCTGTAGCAAGTTCTCCTGCAGGCAGAGGTTTTACATACGCCCCACGCCCTTTTCCAATAAATCAAACATCATTCAAAAGGAACAGAAACCTTGTAATGCTTTTACAAAATAAGTAGCTGTGATAAGCACAAGCCTTGCCAAACTGTGTGAGACTTGCCAAAAGATAACAGACAAGAAATAATTTATAATACAAAAATCTTCAAATACAAACTCAGGATACTGGAATGTCCAGGAGGCTGGAATTTTCAAAACGTCTTTGCCTTCTGCAAAGTATGTTTGTTTCACAGCTGGCTTTTATCTTCTTGAAGAAGGGGCCATTACCTTGCAGCCTTACTCCCGAGTCGCCCATGCTGTTGTAGCTGCTCTTTCCTACACTGCTCTTTCCTACACTTGGCACAGGCTCCTCGGGAACCTCCTCATCACTGCTGCCAGCCCCCACAATCTCTGAAGGCAGCGGTCCACTCCCTTATGGTCCTGGCCCCTCATCTGAGTCCTCGCTCTCCTCAGCTGTCCGCACCTGCTGCCGGCTAACCACAACAGCCAATCCAGATCAACGTTGTAGATCACGAGTGTCAAATTCAAGGCCCACGGGCCAGATCCGGCCCACCGGGTGCTTAGATCTGGCCCGTGGGGCCACCCTGGAAACAGCAAAGGACCCAGCCCATGGTGCCTCTGCCAGAAAAAACGGAGTTCAATTTTCGCTGTCAGAGGGTTGCAGCAGGCTGAAAACGGAGCTCATGATGGCCGTTCGCGGCCTCCCCGAACTCTGTTTTCGATGGCAGAGGGTTGCAGGAGGCTGTTGCAGCTGAAAACAGAGCTAGTGAGCCTGTTTTCGCTGGCAGAGCTCTCGGGCCACCTCAGGCATCCCCCAACATGAGTGATGTCGTGCTGACCATGCCCACTCTGGCCACACACCCCCAAGGTCAAACACAACCCTGATGCAGCCCTCAATGAAATCGAGTGTGACACCCCTGGTGTACATCTAGCAAGCAAATTTGGAGCTCCAGAAGGTGGTGATGAACAGCTCACACGAACAGCCACCAAGACCAGAAGCTTTGTTTTGTTATCATGCCAGCTTTTTTTAAAATGAAAATAATTTTCTCAGCAATAAAGTTAGGTGAATCAAGAATCCTAGAATTGTCACCCTTGAGTTATGCTGACTCGTAATCTGCCTATTATTGCAAGTCCTTAAAAAGGGGGGGGGAAGGTATTATATTAACTAATAACCACTTTAGATGTGACCACAAAGAGTCCACCCAGTTTAGCAATATTCTTTCCAAAGATTGCTCATATAACGTCTATGTTCGTATAGCCCACTGAATCACAAACCTTTTTTTAGCTGACCACGTTGTACAAACTCAGCCTGTGGCTAGTTTATGCTTCAGGGTCTTGTGCAAATGTAGAAAAGTGGATTCATTCCATAAGTCGTGGTCAAGTTAATCAGGAATAAACATGTCATGCAAACGTCTACGGAGAATCTCAGTCATCCAGATCATGGTTATCCCAAAGATGTTTTTTTTTTTCCAAAAGGCAACTGGACTTTCTTGGTTTTTTCCTTTCAAAACGTTTCGCTTCTTATCCAAGAATCTTCTTCAGTTCTGGATGAGAAGCGAAACATGTTCAACTTTAAAAAAAAACAACAACAAGAAAACCCAGTTGCCTTTTTTTGGGGGAAAAAACACCTTTGGGATAACCATCACCTGGATGATTGAGAATATGTCATGCAAACATAGTCCGTAAAAGATCTTCACAACAGAAGCTCCTGGTTCACCTTTCCAGAGAACATCCTTTCAAAATTACAGGAAAGCTATATTTACAGGTAGTCCTCCATTTAGGAGCAGAACTGGGATGAAAATTTCCATTGCTAAGCAATGCAGTCGTAAAGCGTGACACAGTATGACCCGCATCACTTAGCGATGACAATCCTGGCAGGCACTGTTCCGTTGTTAAATGAAGCCAAGCCAAGCCAAGCCATTGCAGGCTTGGTACCTCCCAGCCCTGAGCCTTGGGTAATGTGTCAGGCACAAAGAAATCAGGCCCCCTTATTAAGTTCCACTTAAAATCATTTGTTGCTCATGCTACGCAGGTAGTCCTTGACTTACGACCACGATGGGTTCCCCAAGCCAGACAGTTGTGAGGTTTGCCTCATTTTACAACCTTCCTTGCCACAGTGGTTAAGCAAGTCACTGCTTGCCATTGTCAGAAGTGAGTAACACGATAGTTAAGTGAACCTTGTTTTCCCATTGACTTTACTTGTCAGACATGGCAAAATCCCACAACCTCAGAACACTGCAGTGGTCATAAATAGGAACCAGTTGCCAAGGGTAACTGGGTAATTTGGATCGTGTGGCTGTGGGGATGGTGCAATGATCAGAAGTATGAAAATAGTCGTGTCACTTTTTTCAGTGCCATTATAACTTTGAATGCTCACTAAAGGATTGGTAGTAAGTCAAGGAAGAAATCACAAGAATCTAGTAACTAATGATTGTGGCTAAATTAACACTAGACAAGAGTTAATGGAATTCAAGAGGAGTTGAATTCAGACCATGTATAGGAACGTTAATGACTCCAGGCTGATTCCCGTCTTGACGCTGCCTCCAGGTTCTGTCTGTCCTGCTATATACAGTAAGCTAAAGCAATGGCTGCCAACTGGTGGGCCGGGAACCACTGGTGGTCCGCAAGAAAATTTGGTGGTCTGCAGAGAAATGCCCCCCCAAAGCACTCCCCCAAAGCAATTAATCCAGGCTGCACAGGAACACAAGGTTGTGCCACCCACATGGTCTGCCCACCCAGTGGCCCCCACCCTTCGCCTGAGTGTGCAAACCTTACCTTCAGTAAAGTCATCCCGGAGCAGCTCCTCCAGTCCATGGCACACCCTGGTGGAGGAGCAGCTGCTCCGGGATGACCAAAGGGCCAGTCCTGTGACTACTGCAGCTCTGGAATATGGGACTGACTTTCCCACCAATGTCAGCAAGCCACCTTTAGTCAAAAATCATATTAGTGGTCTGCAGGATTTAAAATTATGAGTTTGGTGGTCCCTGAGGTCCAAAAGGTTGGCAACCCCTGAGCTAAATTGCCTCCTGTTCAACTCTCCCTCCTAGCCTATCTCTCCCCATTTCTGCTCTTTTGGCTGCTCTGCACACGGCCTTATGGGATGGCGAGCAACCCCAGAACCATGTGGCTATGAAGCTGCTTGCCACACTGCAGCTCAGGGACTTCTTAGAGCAGGGGTCTCCAACCTTAGCAACTTTAAGACTTGTGAACTTCAACTCCCAACTCTGGGAGTTGAAGTCCACAAGTCTTAAAGTTGCTAAGATTGGAGACCCCTGTCTTAGAGCACCGTAGCTGCTGGCCCTGGGCGGCCATCTTCCCCAAGCCTTGCGAAGGAAACTGCCATCCAAGACCTTGGGACAGCCAACTGCTTTGCAAAGGGTCAGGCTGGCAGCAGAATTCGACTAGGATGTCGGGCTGCGAAGCGCAGGGGGTCAAAAGGCTTAGCTAGGGGGAAGGTAGACAGGTGGGAGGGACGGGACTGAAGTACCCCTGTGGTTGTAAATGCAGGCAGACTACCAAGAGCCTGGATTTTGATCATGGGATCCATGACATGCTACAATCACTGTAACTCTGGGGGCCGCTTGTTAGTCCTTTCATTCAGCATCACCGTCCCTTTGAACAGTCCCTAAACAAATGGTCGTAAGTTAAGGACTACCTGTATTCTGGAATAGGAGCAGTGACAGGGTTCGTATGTTTTGCTCAACTGGAACTTTTGTCACTGTTTGGGTGTTTTTAGCACGAAGCCGACTCCTCGTTCCGATAAACCCCTATTACTGAGTTTACCCAGCAAAGTCCCGGCCAACAGTTCTTCAAGATACTTCCCAATTACCAACTCTTATCAGACCTGGAGAGCTGCCAGGCCAATATCCTTCAGATGCCACACTGTAGCAAATGACGCTTGGAAAGAATGCAGGAACAGATCTTCGCCCAAATGAACTAATTGTTTCCTGCAAAGACCTTTTTTGCTCCTCTTTTATTCCCTATGGGAGGGGCCATTCACAATCCACCTGTGGCTTTACTCCCGAGTCGACCCTTGTTCCTTAGCTGTTCCCTTCTTCTGGCAACTCTGCGCATGCGCACACTGGGAACAGGCTCCAGCTGTTCTTCTTCCCCACTTATCTCAGACTCTGTAGGCAGCTGGGAAATGTTGGACAGCCCTGGCCCCATCTCTGCCTCCCACGCAGAGCCCTCGTCAGAGCCTTCCCCAGACTCCAGGACTGGCCCATGTTCCTCCCCAACCTCCTCACTGGCCGAATCTGTTGCCAACTCTGCTGGTGGGCCACAATAGTAGCTGTGTTTTGCTATCATTTAAACCCATCCCTAAAAGGAGGGAGGGGAGTAGGGAGATAAATACGGTCACCCTAAACCCTGTGCGTGATCCTCAGCTTCCATATGCCTATCTAGCCCTCGTGGCCTCTTTTCTGCTTCAGAAAGAAGTTCCGGCTACTACTAGGAAGACCCACCAGGGAAAGAGGTTATAAATGTTTGGCTCTGGTTTTGGGTGCCCTCCATCCAGCTCTTCCAATTCAGAGGTTCCATCTGTTAACTAAGCATTGGGGTTGAGATTAGCCGACTGTAAACAAGTTAATTTGGCTGCATTGTATTTCTGTATCGTCGTTACTTTTATTAGCCACCCAAAGGGTAATATGCAGAAAGGCAGGCCAGGCATTGAAAAATAGAAATAAAACAAGTAAGTAATATTTAGTGAGGGACAGATTATCCCAGAGGCTCCTGAAAGCTGGTTCAAGGAGCTCTGAAAAAGCAGGATCCACACACCTCTTTGACATTCCAAACACGCAGAGTGAGAGACAAAAGATTTCACTTCCAAATCTCACGAGGTCCCTGTCACTCCCAAGCTCCGGAATAGCTTCCCTTGGGAGTTGTATTTATCTTTCGCTCTTTCCGTCTTCAGATCAAGGCTTTTCTCCTTCAATGAGACCTTTGGAGTTTCGTGAACAATTCTGTTTTCCTAGTTTGCCCAGATTGGCCAGGGAGATGCTGTCAGTGCCCGATGTGTAGAGGGAAAAAAAAGTGGAGGGGGGGAAATAGGAAACTGCAACGCATGCATGATCCCCAATACAAGCAAGGCAAGCGACACATAGATAACATTCTGTTAGGCTGAGGCTATTCCTCACTTTGAAGGTCACGACTTTCTGGTTTCAGGAATTAGAACCAGGAAGCTGATCAAAATTAATCCAGCAATTTGTGTCAGTAGAGGCCACGGGAAAGGACTGCAGCTAGGCCAAACTAGCAAATAAGACACTGAAGCGGTCATGAGAGACTGGTGTCGGTGGAGATTCTTGGTCATCCAGGTCATGGTTGTCCCAAAAGCGCTTTTTCAAAAGGCAGCTGGGCTTTCTTTGTTTTTTTTTTCCTTGAAGACAAACTGAACAAGCTCCTTGGAAGAGAAGTGAAACAGATCCAAGGAAAAAAACGCAGCCCGGTTGCCTTTTGAAAAAACACCTTTGGGACATTACAGACTGAGTTGGCGGTGAGCACAATTCACAGATGGGGTGATGGTTCATGAACACTGCAGAATTAAAACAATCAGAATAGAGCTGGAAGGGACCTTGGAGGTCTTCTAGACCTTTTGGACCTCAGAGACCACCAAACTCATAATCTTAAATCCCGTGGACCACTAATATGAATTTTGACTGACAGTGGCTGCAGGAAAAATGTCTGCAGGAAAATTCCCCACCCTGTTTTCCTACCGATCGATGATTCTTTATTTGGGATCGCAGGATACCGTCTCCAGCTCTGTTCTAAGGGGGAGAAAGAGAGAGAGAGAGACTTTTGGCTTCATGCAAGGAAAGCAGCAGAAGCAGCAGAAGTCTTTCTTTCTCTCCCCCAAACTCCGCCAGAAATGAGTCTTTGCCGGCGCAGCCTCTTGGAGCAGGATGCCTTGTAGGGTCCTAAAGATTCCTTTCTAGTGGAGTTTAGGGGAGAAAAAGAAAGACGTTTACTGCTTTCCTTGCGTGCAGCCAAAAGCAGAAGAAGAAAGAAGCAGCCCGGTGGCCAGGCGAGGCACGTGGGGCGCTTGGGGCAAGTTTCCCTCCCTCTGCCCTTTCCCCCTCCCCTCATTACCTCATGTTGTTTGCAGTGCAAGCGACTTACCACGCAGCCTGGATTAATTGCTTTGGAGGTGACATTTCTCTGCGGACCACCAAAATTTTCTCACGGACCACCAGTGGTCCCCAGCCCACCAGTTGGCGACCACTGTTCTAGTCCAACCCCCTGCTGAAGCAGGAGATCCTATACCATTTACAGACAAACCTCCAGTGATGAAGCATCTACAATGTCTAAAGTTACACTGGTTAATTGTTCTCCCTATTAGGAAGTTTCTCCTTAAATTCCAGGTTGCTTCTCTCCTTGATTAGTTTCCATCCATTGCTTCTTGTTTTCTTTTGGGTGCTTTGGAAAATAAGTTGAACCCCCTTCTTCTTGGTGGCAGCCCCTCAAATACTGGTATACTCCCATCATGTCACCCCTAGTCCTTCTTTTCTCTCGACTGGCCTTACCCAAATCCTGCAACCGTTCTTCATGTGTTTTTAAACGATCCAATAAGATCTGCTCCAAGTGTCCCCTTTGCCTTTTTAATTTTCCCTTGTGTTTTTTTTAATTGGGAGAGGATATGCAGAAGAAAAGGCAATGCCCCTCCTACAGTCTTAAATGGAACAGCCTAGAGCAGGGGTCTCCAACGTTGACAACTTTAAGCCTGGCTGATTTCAACTCCCAGAATTCCTCAGCCAGCAAAGCTGTACAGGTAGTCCTCAACTTATAGCCACAGCTGGCACCAGAATTCCCGTTGCTAAGCAAGGTGATTGTTACATGAGTGGGATCCAATTTTACATCCCTTTTTTGCCCAGGTTGTTATGCAAATCACTGCAGTTGTTAAATGAATTGTGTTGGTCATTAAGCAAATCAATATTCCTACATTGACTTTGCTTGTTGGAAACTTGTAGGTAGCAAATGCTGAACACATGGTCCTGGAAAGCTGCCTTCATTGTTTGTCAAGTAATTTTATTAGATTTTACAAAGCATACACTTCACAAAACCACATAAACTAACTATTAAGAGAAACAACGAAGTGTTAAAAAGAGAGTAGGGATAGAAGTTTAAAAAGGTATTAAAGAAAAAGGGAAACACAAATATTAGAATGACATCTGACTTTTTCCAAGTATAGAAAGAATTCTCACATTCAAAACTTAGTTGTTTAAGACTATAATAAATTGTCCATTTTCCACAAAAAAAATGGAAATAAAAGTTATTTTTTCCTCCCTTTAAATTTTTTTTAATGCTCATCAAATCCATATGACAAAATTTGATTTTTTTTTTTCTCCAACAGAAGCAGCAACCATTGTAAATGTGTGCCGGTTGCCAAGCAACCAAAACTTGATCACATGACCACGGGCACACCATAATGGTCGTAAGAGTGAGGACTGGCTGTCGCTTTTTTTTCCAGTGCTGTTGTAAAACTTTGAACAGTCCCTAAACCGATATAAGATGAGGACTATATTTCCTACTTTAGGTCTTTGTGTATCTTTACAAAAAAAAACACCACAAAGGACAATCTGAAACTGATTTGGACATTTCCAGAAGTAATGTCTCTGTTCTTTTCTATCCATGAATATTGTTTACCATATGAATAATCATTTTAAAATATAATTCTAAATAATTGTTCGGTGCATTACGCTGGCTGCCCTCCATTTCAGTGGCTGCTTGCAGTGAAGCTGTGTGTGTGTATGTGTGGTGTCTTAAAAATGCCCCCCTTTTGCAGCAGAGAGAAAGGACCTGGTCATGTCTAGGTGTTGCTGATCTACAGCTCCCAAGGTCCTTCATCTCTGGCAGGGATCACCAAGAGTTGTTGTTTTTCAGCAGCATCTGGAGGGTTACAAGTTTATCACTCCTGCTGTATGCAATGGCTCTGCTGGAAGAGAAGGGAGAATATCTATTATTATTTTTTTTAGGCAAGCACACCCACATGTTCCCCTCTAAGGGTGTGTTAAAAAAAAAAAAGTCAAATTAACAGCAACCCAAGCTCCATCCATGTTTTTTGTATCAGGCCCCCCCTGTACTTCTCTCGTGTTCCTATCTTGTGGATTCACACAGATGCACACAGCTTTAAAAAGAAAATGGCCGCTTAATTATCAACAACAAAAATAGGTCAGTGTATTAGAGTTCAGTGGTGTCAAACTCAAGCCCCGGGGGCTGGATCCGGCCCACAGGAGGCTTACATCTGGCCCGTGGGGGTCACTCTGGAAACAGTGAAAGTCTGGCCTGCGGTGCCTCTGTCAGTGAAAACGGAGCTTGAGAGGGCCGTGGGCGGCCTTCCCGAACTCCGTTTTCACTGGCAGAAGGTTGCAGGAGGCCATCGCAGCTGAAAACGGAGCTCGGGAGCCCATTTTTGCTGGTCGAGGGCTCAGGTCACCACAGGAGCCTCCCAACATGAGTGATGGTGAGCTGGCCACGCCCATCCCTAGCTAAGTCCCCCACCCCCAGTCAAACACAACCCTGATGTGACCCTCAAGAAAATCAAGTTTGACACTCCTGTGTTAGACTGACAGTTTGAGGAGCAAAGCTTGGGCATATTCTTGGTCATGAAGTTGATTGTGTATCCTTGGGTTCTGAGGCTATCCTATCTCTCTGGGTTATTGTGAGAATAAAATGGGGAAGGAGATATATATATTAATTATACACACACACACACAGCCTTGAGCTTTTTGGAAGAACGGGGTAAGATACATAAATAAAAGGGTAAAAATTTAGCTGTCCTTGATTAAAATTAAGCAATGCCAATGACTGTTCAAGGGGAAAAAAAATACCAATAGGCATGAACAGCCAACCAGCCATCTTCTAACCTAAAGAAAAGAGGACATCCTAAATAAGCATGGAAATATTTAATAGGTGCTTTTTACTGGGTCTCTAAATTGTAGATTCCGGAGAAAGGATTTGTTGGACAAAAACACAATGAGTCTCTTGGGTTCCATGCACCAAAATGAATACTTGAGCCCTGCCAAGAGTGGGCTGTGTTTTGATCAATGTTTCTTTCTGTTTCTCACCCCCTCCCTTCCCTTCTCTCTCTCTCTCTTTCTCTCTCAATCTCTTTCAGAGCTACTTTAGCAGCACTTTTCTCTGGAACACTTTTCAAGTTCTGTATTTAATGGAAATCAAAAACAAAACAAAAAAAACCCCCACCACACACACACGCACACACACACACATATATGTATGACAAAAAAAAAAAGACCCCTTTTTGTTCGCTCGTTTCTTGGTTGGTTCATTTGCTTTTTTTTCTAAGAAAACAAAACAAAACAAAAAAGAAAAGAGAAAAAGAAAGACAAGAAGGAGGGAAAGAAGACAGAGGCGAACACCCCCACTCCACCCCTTTCTTTAAAAAACAAAGAGAAAGGGGGAAAAAAGAAAATATGATGAAAAAATCAATAAACTTGCTTTCTTTGATAATGGCGGGGGGGGGGGGAGTTTTTGAAGCCGACCGGCGGGAGCTGTCTCAACCTACAGCCCAGCAAAAAGACAATCGAAAATCCTTGCAGATGCTCAAGTCAAGAGTCACAATGGAGGCTGCCATATCTCTGAGCCACCCACAACATGCAGACAAGAAACACTCCAGAAGGCAACGGACAGAAACCAAGGACATCCAGAGGGAAGGGGACATTAATTTTTGCTTTTTTTTTTTTTTTTATGATGGGGCAGAAGGTGTTGGGGAGGGAAAACTCTGTTGATCTATGAACGCCAATGAAAACTCATCAAGGAAGACTGAAGATTGGGCATTCTCTTCCTTCTTCACCTCTTCCTTCCCTTCCCTTATGTCTCCCTCCTTTTTTTGCAGATTTATTTCATTCCTTTTTTTTCTTCTTCTTCCCAGTGGTTGGTTGGTTGGTTTGCCTTTTTTTAATTTTTTTTTTTTTACAAAAAAAGAAAAAGAAAAAAACTTTGTTGCTTAATTTCTTTGGGGAGCCCAGAAGATTTTACAAGTCTATGAATCAATCTCGGAGACCACCACCTTCTCCCAGTAAGTAATTTTGTGACTCCAACCCTCTTTGCTTTCCTCAGCATCTTCTCCCAGTTCCACGGTGGGCAGGAGGTTGATTTGTCTTCTCTGGTCGGCCACTTCCCTGTCCTACCTGTGCTTCCTATCATCTCTGCTAAAAGGAGTAGAAACTTGTTGATAGATGCTCTCGTAGCCTCTGAGCAAAACTGCAGTGAAGCACTTTAAAAACCCCAATGTTGCAAAAAATAATAATAATCTAGGAACTTGTTGATTGATGCACCCTGGTGCTCATAGCTTTATTACTGAAATGTTCCTTTTTGCCTTGTGCTATTGAAAAAAAACCCAGACGCTCCTGCCTGCTTTATAGACAAACTCATTTGCTCAGTTATACATCAATTGCACAAGGAATTAAGATTTTGTGGCAGTCATCATGTGTTTTGCCATCAAGTGGTCAAACCACCCTTTGTTTCCATTGATCACTGTGGGAGCAGCCGTTCCATGCCTGGTGCCCTCCCAGTTACACTAGCCAGTTTCTGCAGCCAGAACCTAGAGAGGAAATGGAGCAAACTGCTTTGGACCACCTATGTCAAACTGCACACCAGCTGGATTCGCACATTGTGCTGAGTGGTTTTTGTTTAGTTTGTTCAGAGTACGCTTGATCTGTTGAGTGAACCCAATGCCTGTCAATCTGTAAAATCAAATGGCTTATGGGTTAACCGGATCATCATTTGGGGTTAATTCAAGAAAATGCTGTTGAACCAAAATCTTGGCTTAGCATGTTATACAAAGTTTAGTTTCTGAACACCAGTGGCTCTCCGAAGTTTCAGAGGTAGCTTTTCCAAATCTACCTGAAGATGCTGTTGCATTGAACTTGGGATCTTTTGCAAGCAAATAAGTTGCTCTACCACTGAAATATCCTCCCACTCAAAATTTTCCTCCCAGGTTGCGTAGATTATTGTCAGCAAAACGTAGGGAGGTTTGTATAGGCCTATGTTAATATGGATGAAAGCACCTCCCCCCCCGCCCCCCAAAATACACCTTGTTCATGTAATGATTCCAGCAACTGTTGTTCCTTTTCCAGCTGTCCCGTTTTATGACTTTCTCGTACTGTTGATAAAACTTGTACACTGCCTTGAATGTTGGGCAAATGGTCCGTGGACCTTCTAGACTTAGCCGAAAGGTATTTATGTTCAATAATGCTAGGAGGGTTTAGGGACCTAATTTACACTATCTTCAGTCCCACTGGACATCAAATAAATAATCATAAAAATGATTGCAAACAATTGTTTAGTTGGTTTTTTTAATCTATGTTTTCATGATAGATTTGGGTTTTACTTGTAGGTGTCCGCTACTTTGAGCGGCACTATTATTATTATTATTTAAAGAAATGACTGCTTGAGGAATCCCCCTTATAAGGCACTTCTGCCCAAAGTATCCTTGTTTTGCTTTAAGCTATTTTCACATGTTTCCTTAAACATTGTGGTTTGCATGGATTTGGCTGAGTAGTAAATACACACACACACACACACACACACACACACACACAGCTGGTTATGATCTGTTTTAGTCCAATAAGGGAACCAAGCCAAGGTCATCTGCTTGAATCTTCTTTCATTTGGGGTAGTTTTTTTTTTTTTAATTTTATTTTTACTGTCAACTTCCTGGAGATAACCTTGAACATTGGGCAGCATACAAATCCTGTGAGTAAATAATATGGAAAGGACTGAACGGAATGTATGTATCACAACAGCACAGTAAAGCCCACAAAACAGAGAGGGTGTGATGCAATTCCAGATGCAACCTCAAGACCAGGATCAAAGTTTCAGCAGAGCTAACTGATGCCTGTCTGAAGGTGCCTGCAATTTATTGGGTCCTGAAGATATTTCTTCACTGCAGGGATGGTTGCTGACTGGGAAACTCCATTTTTCTTCCTCTTCAGTTGCCCTAGTTGAGGTGGTTGAAGGACCGCCAGTAGTCTATCCTTCAACTCCTTCAGAATATCCACTTTAATAGAATGAATGAGCTGGAAGGGACCTTGGAGGTCTTCTAGTCCAGCCCCCTGCTCAAACAGGAGAACTTATTCCATTTCAGATAAATGTCTGTCTAGGCTCTTCTTAAAAACATCCAGTGATGGAGCGCCCACAATTTCTGGAGGCAAGCTGTTCCACTGGTTAATTGTCCTGACTGTCAGGAAGTTTCTCCTTAATTTCAGGTTGCTTCTGTTCCTTGATTAGTTTCCAACCATTGTTTCTTGTCCTGCCCTCCAGTGCTTTGGTAAATAATTTGACCCCCACCCCTCTTCTTTGTGGCAGCCCAAGTACTGGAATACTGCTATCATGCCACCCCAATTCTTCTTTTCTTTAGACTAGCCAAACCCAAATCCTGCAGCCATTCTTCATATGTTTTAGTCTCCAGGCCTTTGATCATCTTAGTTGCTCTTCTCTGAACTTTTTTCCCCCAAAGTCTCAACATCTTTTTCAGATAACAGATAATCAGAGTTGGAAGGGACCTTGTAGGTCATCTAGTCCAACCCCCTGCCCAAGCAGGAGATCCTACACCATTTCTGACAGATGGCAGTCCAGTCTCTTCTTGAAAGTCTCAAGTGATGGCGCTCCCACAACCTCCGAAGGCAACTTCTGTTCCATTGGTTGATTGTTCTTACTGTCAGAAAGTTTTTCCTTATTTCCAGGTTAAATTTCTCCTTGTTCAGTTTCCATCCATTATTCCTTGTCTGGCCTATAGGAGCTTTAGAAAATAGCTTGACCCTCTGTGGCAGCCCTTCAAATATTGGAAGACTGCTATCATGTCTCCCCTGATCCTTTTCTTCACTAGACTAGCCATGCCCAGTTCCTGTAACCGTTCTTCATATGTTTTAGTCTCAAGTCCCCTAATCATCCTGGTTGCTCTTCTCTACTTTTTTCTAGAGTCTCAATATCCTTTTTTATAGTGTGGTGACCAAAGCTGGATGCAGTACTCTAGGTGTGGCCTTACTAAGGCTTTATAGAGTGGTATTAGTACCTCCCTTGATCTTGATTGTATCCCTCTATTTTAGTAATACAGTGACCAAAATTGGTTGCAGTATACGAACTTGGTCTAAGCTCCTTCTCTAAAAGTGGTGAAACTGCTCTCCCAGATGCTATTGCTGGAGTGTGACCATCATCTTTGGCTCTTGGTCATGCTGGATGTGACTAATGGATGCCTAACTCCAATCCTGCTGTTCTCCCAGGCTTGCTCCAGCAGGAGAACATCATGCAGACATGTTTATACCCCTCCCAGCAAATTTATAGCATCTTTTGTTCTTTCCCAATCTCTCTCTAGTCACTCTGAATTCCTGTTCCACTCAGCCCTGCAGACCTTGTCCTTGTTCCATTGTTTGTGCGTGTTGAGTTTTCTGGCTGCACTTTACTGAGGTGTGCACCTGTGCCTTTAATCCTCTTGATTAGGTTGTTCCACCATGTGCACACACCTCCTCCCCCTCTTCCTCCCCTCCTCTCCACCACCACCATCAGAAGGCCTTTTCCTGGAGTGCAGATGCCTGTCTGGATTTTGTCCCCTTTCCTCCTGTGTTTTTCAGCTTTAATCAGGATGTACTCGAAGCCATCAGGGGCTGGGTAATTTGGCACTAATTGCATGCCAGGTTTGTTTCTCACCAGCTTGTTCCATTTCAGAGAAGGAGCTTCTCTTTTTTTTAACAATCAATCGATAATGGATTAGCATACTGAAACAGCCATATTAAAGTCACATTAAATGCTCATTTAAATCCATTCACGGGAAAGGAAGGAGGGAGGGAAAGAAGGAGAGAGGGAGGCAGATCAGCTTGGGTACTTCTTTTAATGCAGATGTACTGCGGTGGGGCCCTCCAGCTGTGTGGCACCAGCACTCTTGAGCGAACCCCCCATTCTGGGGGGATGTGGGAAGGATGTAGTCTCGCATCCCGCAAAGCGTGAGGCCAGCCAGCGGTGCTCTGATAAATGCTTAGCTTCTGGCCCCTGGGATGAATCCCCAATAGCTGTGCATTCAAAATAACAACATCCTGAAACGTGGGGGAAATAATTTGTTATTCAATGTCACCGCTGGGTGGGCTCGAGAGGAATTTGGGGAGAGGGGGTTGGGAGGGGGTACACCAGGCCCCAGCATTAATGCATTTTAGGCATCTTTTTTTAAAAAAAACTCCTCTTTGTCGTAGGTTCCCCCCTTGATACTGATATATTAACAGGCTGGCTTTATTTTATTTTTACTGGTTCTTCGTGGTCTTAGCTCTGTTTTCATGCTGGAGAGACATTACCAGAAAGCGCTCTGGGATTTTGGATCATGAGAAGCAGGACAGAAGTGCAATTAATTGATGAATGAATAAATCCTGCTAACCATCACCTACTGAGTTCATGATGCTGCCTTGTTCTGAATGAGGAGATATCTTGGGTTCAGCTTGCCCAAGATTACCTATGTGCCCCCCTCCCCAAAATGCAGGGATTACAATATCCAGCCAACATACCAGGAGTGTGGGTGGTGGGGTTGCATTCTGCTAACAGCCCTACTTCTTCCTTTCTGGCAAAGTCTTCTCATCGTTGATTAACGATCCTTTCCTCAAATATACCTGGCACTCCCTGACTTTGCTAGATGTCTGCTGCGCTGCTGAATTCAGCCCTTGCTGTTGAATCTGGTGTGCGCTTCACCTCTCTGGCCCCAATCAGCTTTCAGGTGAACCCAGATTCCCCCAACCACCCACCCACCCCAAACAAACAGAAGGAAAGGTGTGGGTACAAAAAGCTCCCTTTGTTCTGCCAGTGCAGATTTAGCAGAGCTTCCTAGCAGCAGTGTCTCTGGATTGGAGATCGCAAGGACCAAGGACAAGCAAACCAAGGACTATCCGAACGCAAAGCATGTTTCTGCTGATGAGCTATTTTGCGTTTTCCCAGAATTCAGCTTCTGGAAAATTTCTTTCCCCCCACCCCACTCCACCACATCCCTCAAGGCTGCGAAGATTGTCTAGAAGTATGTGGGCTGATTGTTGCCTATTGAAA